TGCCTTTGGTATTAAGTTGAAGTTGAGTTTCTTATATCATTTCTTAGATGGATGGACATACGAAAAGAACCATTCATTCTTTAGAATATTTGCTAAGGGCTTATGTGCTAGAACAAGGAGGAGCTTGAGATAGTAACTTTCCATTGATTGAATTAACTTATAATGATAGTTTCCATTCTAGTATTGGAATGGCACCATATGAAGCGTTGTACGCTAAGAGGTGTAGGACTCCATTATGTTGGTATGAGTCAGGCGAGAGTGTTGCACTCGGGCCTGAGGTTGTGCAAGATACAACTATGATAAAGATGATCCTAGAGGAGATAAAGGCTTCTCAGAGTCGTCAAAAAGTTATCATGATGTGTTTCATGTGTCTTAGTTAAGAAAGTATATTCCAGATCCTTCGCATGTGATTCAAATGGATGATATACAAGTGAGAGAAAACTTAACTTTTTAGGCATTACCATTGCGAATAGAAGGTCGGGAAGTGAAGCAATTATGAGGCAAGGACATTGCCTTAGTGAAGTTATTATGGGGCGGACCAGCTAGTGAAAGTTGGACTTGGGAACACGAAGATCAGATGAGAGAGTCTTATCTGATGTTGTTTCCTTTAGGTAATTTTTTAGGGCGAAAATTATTTTAAGTGAGGGAGAGTTGTAGTACCCATAATTCTAGATTAATTATTTATTTAATTAATTTAGCGTAAATATACGAGTCTCTGTGAAGTGTTTGGTATATATGATGTTTTGTTGCTTTGTGCTAGTCCTTGTGATAGTATATAATGTGTATTCGTGGTGCATCTGTGATGCAATATCGAAGACTTGATGAATAATATGTTTAAGATGATGAATTGTATGGTGTAGGATGAGATAATAAGAGGGTTTAGAATTTAAATAATTATTTTAGAATTCTTTATATTTAATAGTGATTATTTAGAATTATTTGGATTTAAATAAATATAATAAAATGTGATGTAGAGAAAATAAGGGCATTATGGTCATTAATGAAGGATAAGTGAGGGCATGATGAGAAGTTCATTATTATGGGTTTAATAGGGCATGTTTGGTATAAGGAGAAGGTTTGGTATTACACACTCATTTTGTACCATAGAATTTGGAAGAACACTGTGGAGAAAAGAGAACTAGGGCACAAAGAGGTAAGAAAAGCATAGGAATCCTGGTAGAGCACGAAGAGAAATTGATCTCTAGAAATAATCTTAAGGTAAGGGGATTTTATCATTGTTATTATTTGATTTAAGGTTTATATGATTGGTAGATTGCCTTAGGTTTTGGTAGATGGTGATTTAGTCATGTTTGATGAGGAATTGATGAATTGGTGATGAGTAATGGTGTATAATTGATGTATAATGAGTATAGAATTATAATTTGTTGATAGAAGATGAAACCTTGTGACTAGATGGTGTTTTAGGACCTATAACATGATAAAATCGCAAGACAGTTGGACTGGTTTATGCAGAAAGTTGCAACAAGAAAACCATGTTCGCGTTGTGTCACCGGGTGACGAAGGTAGAGTCATAGAGCAAAGATGTGTCACCAGAAGAAAGTGAGAGAGAAGGGAGGAAGATTGGATCTAGTTTCTGGAGTGCGTCACCCCTAGTGTCACCAGACGAAGCAAGTGGCGATGGAAGTATCGCCGGACTATGGAAGAGTGTCATCGGGTGAAGGAAGGCATAAATGAATGGTCGTTTTGGATTTTCTTAAAAGAGTTATAACTTGAGTTTTATAACTCAGATTGATGTGTCGTTTGAAGTTTTGGATAGATAATGCAATGAACTTTATTTATGTGAAGTAAAATTAGACTTAAGGAGTACATTTATGACACCTAACTTAGAATAGAATTAGGTTCTCTGCGTTGAATCGCAATGATGTTTTGTTTATGATGATGTTTTCCTTATGATGATGATGTTTTGTTGTTGTGTTTCTTATGATTATGTTATGATATTGTGTTGATTATTATGATGATGTTATGGTGTTATGTTGATTATGATGATGTTATGATGTTTGTTGATTATTATCATGTTATGATGATGTTTGTGATGAATCATGAATGATGATGCGTGTTGACTAGCTATCGTCGTATTAAATATGTTGTTGTGCATCATTCATTTCATATTTTAGGATATCGGTCAAGTGAAGTTAGGACTTTGGTCCATTGAAGTTAGGACTTCGGTCCAGTGAAGATGATAGGACGATTTTCTAGTAAAGGCAACAATCACATAGTGTGGATTCGGTGCATTAGTAAAATGCTCTGGTTCCAAGTTGGAATCAATCTTATGGTGGGGATATTTGGAGATAATGATGAATGAGTCATCAGTGAAGTTTTGGCACCACATGCACGAGTCTATGATGTTGTATTACATTCTATGTGACATTGCCTAATGTTTTATAAGTATGACTTAAGAAACATGACTAATTTGTATGAAGTACTATAATGAAGTGTTTTGAACTATGATTTCCGCTACCATGATTCGAAGAACTAAATGTTACATCTATCTTGTTAAATATTTTCAAAACTTGTGTTACGAAGCATAATGTATTGTTATAAAGTTTTATATGAAGATGTGACACCCTTGTTTTGTGATATAATCTAATTTATTTATTTGAATAATTGTGAATATTCCTTGGGGTTCAGAAGGGTGTTACATCATGTCTTTCTATTTGTGTTTTGTGATATGAGTTATGAACACAGTTGTGTCCTGTGTTTTAAGTATTCCAGGTCGGTGTTTGGTTGCTTAGGGTAAAGTTTTTGTTTCTTCTTAAGGGTTCTCTTATGCCCCCAGAGAGGAAGATTTATTCCTTCGTGACAAGAATTGATTCATGTGTTAAGACTGAGTAACTAGATAATCATATGTGTGTTTTGGTTATCTTCTTCCTCATGTACTGGAAGAATAAAGGCTTCTAGCTGAAATGACTTCATGACTTTTGTTCTTAGATTTGTTGTGCAAAATGAGTTTTAGTCAAAATTTTCCAAAAGGGGGAGATTGAAAGCTCTAAAGGTTTGACTAATTTTTGTATAACAAGATGTTAAAATATGTGAAGAATAACACGAAGACTCGACATCTTATAGCAGGATTTTAGTAAATCTATTCCAAGATTTAAGGAGTGTTTTAGCAGTGGATCATCGAATATTTTAACATAAGATTCGAAGTCCATGGACAACTAAAGATTATAAAAGGAATATTTAGTCCTAGGGCATAGATACTAATCCTTATGGAAAACTTTTAAAAATTAAAAATAAGGGTTTAGGGTTTTGGAAGTCGTGTACTTTCTTGTATGGTAAGTCACCCTTTGTATCAATTTGATACATTGTGGTAGACATTGTTTTCTATACAAGTTCAGAAGCCTTTAGGTAATGAAAGATATATTGTTCTTGAATGAAGCTTTGAATAAAATCCAAGTATGTTTGTTAGTCAAGAGTCTTGGCTAAAATTTATATTGAAAGGGGTGTCTATCAAGTAGTTTGATGCAGTCACCAGAGGTAGTGATTATTAGATATCACTGAGATGATTTAGGGAGTGAGATGGGTTTTTCTTATCTTAGATGGGGTTCTGAGATAAATATTGCATTGGGTAGTGATTAGGTAAAATGGAGGTTGTTTACCTGTAAACCTGAGGTTGTTTACATAAAATAATACTACTGATAGTGGAATCTTCTTCCTGGCTTGGTAGCCTACATAATAGTTCTTGTTGTACATTGAACTGGGTCATCACATCTTTGTGTTATTATCATTCAGCATAGTTCATTTTTTTCTTATTGATTGACATGTCGTATAAGATGTTGGAATGTTTGTCATGACGTTGTTCTGTTAAGTATTATATCAGTGTGCTTCATCTAGTCCAGGTGTTGTTACACAGAGATCTTTGTCTCGACATGTGTTAGGACATTGTTATTTATATACCAGAATTTCAATCATATTGATACTTATAAAGGTCACCGTCATGTCAACATTGAACGCGTATGATTTTTGTCGCCCATCTCTACAAGTGACATACAAGGTTATTAGGAGGTTCTTTTTTTATGCTATGTCCATTACGTAATCAGGTCAATTATTTGCAGCTTTACGTCTTACTACTAGGGAGTTACCGAATAAAAAATATACGTACATGTTGACACTGATGAGTTTCGTCCTGCCCGGAAACCCCAACAAGTATGTTTTATAGACGTGTTCTTTCTTACCAACCACCTTTGGTTTTCCTTTATTTTATTCCATCATTTCTAGAGTCGGAAAAGAAAAAGTTGTGTCTCTACTACTGTTTTGAAGAAGAAGAAGAAGAAGAAGAAGACCAATAAGGACATTAACAATGTTTCCCTCGAGGTCGAGTCTACAAACGAAATCGACCAAGTAACGGATGTAGGTTCTGGTCGAGGCAAGAAATAGAAAAATTCATCTGATGATGCTTCTGATTCTCAAGTAATTGAGAAGAAGAAAACAAACAAGTTGATTCCCAACCCCTCTATTCCAAAGAAACAGAAGAAATATACCACCCCAATTTTAAGGTAATAGATGCATTGCGCTGTTTAACTTTCCTCGACCAAATTTTTGAGAAGATACTCATTTCTTGTTTTGCAGGAAAATACACTTTCCACCTTATATGCACTAACCCAAGTTTCCCCTAGTGTCCAACATCATATGGACCGAGATATTAACACCTTTTTGACTCACCTTCCTAGAATTGAGGTTAACCTGTCATTGGTTCATCTAACAAAACATATGAGTTTGGTTGACAGAACCTTTGTCGAGCAAAACGAAAGAAGCCCGTGATCTGGTTTAAGTCGGGGTAACTCTGAGTGCCTGTCCCTCCATACATTTCAGGATTTTGAGGACTCAAATGAATCCATCAACACCTTGAAAGAGCAGATCTTGCACACCAAACACAAAAAGATGAGAACCAAGTGTATATCGGGTCTAACACTACTGAGGCAACACCAATTCAAGTTAAGAAAGCAAAATTATCTGCTAGCATCAGAGATCCTACCCAGGCTATGGCTGCAGCTGCTCAATTTCTGGTCCATAACTCCTCATCCAACACATCTATTAATCGAGAAGAAATTATAGCAATCAAGGACATAAACCCCACAGAGGCTATGAGAAGATTGGTAAATAGTCGAGGGTCCAAATCAGCTGGGAGATCTTCAAACTCTTCAGTCGTGTATAGAGGTGAGATTAGTGTTAACCTCATCACATATTTAGTTGGGCAGTTGAAAACAGAGAGTTTTAAGGTGGACTTCTTCAAAGTTGTGGAAGATGATCCTTCTATCGAGTCTGGTGTCAAATAGCTATTAACCTAGCTTGGCGACCTAGCCTTTCCTGACCCACTTCTTCACTTTGTGTTCAATTTTGGCCCATTTATTGAACAAGATTGCAAGAGCGTGAGGAGACAACAAGAGTCTGACCCCCATTTTCAATAGAAGACTAAGGTTTTTTCCAAATAATGGATCTTAAGTACCTTGTCTAATCAGTGGGTTGAAGCATTGGAGGCTCAGGTTCAGAAGGAAAAGGATCAAATTTCGTCTTATGACTAGTAAATCTTGCAACTTACAAAGAAAATTGAAGATTTAAGACTGAATAAAGCTGACATGGAGAAATATACATTAAGTTTCTCTAAAGAATATTAATAAATAGGCCAATATTGGTTTCCATCACGCTGAAGCCACTGGTTTTTTAGACAACGAGATTCAACTGTTATACGCTGATTGACCCAAACTAGACGCAAGAGTCAAGTTCTCCAAGGCGCATTTTGAAAAGTTCAAAACTAAGTTTACCTTTTAAACGTAATTGTCAATTTGACTTCTTAGCAGCTTTGGTTTGTACCTAATGACATTTCCATTTTAGTCTTTATATTTAACGCCACTTTAACATTACGTATTTTCGTACATTATTATTCTATTATTTGAATTTCTTGTAGCATGAGCTTGTTATTCTTCAAGTATTTGTCGTTTACTCTTAGAATTTGATTATCACGACACAATTCCTCAATCTCAAAACATTTATTTGAAAATACTTGGATAATTTTAAATGGTCCCTCCAATTTTGGTGACCACTTTCCTAAGGCTCTATCCTTTTGATCCATAGGTAATATTACCTCCCAGACATAGTCACCAACTCCAAAGACCTTTGGCTTAACCTTTTTATTTAAGCCTTACCTATTAGCTTCTTTTTTCTAATAAGAACGTCTAGGGAAACTAACCTTTCTTCGTCTTGATCGACCAATTTGTACATCATAATACTCCAATAAAGGTCGATTAGAATCTCACCTTATATTTGTATTCTTAGTGATTGTAGGCATATCTCAGCAAGTAAGAATCTATGATGGTCAAATGTCATTCAAAAAGGTATAAAGCTAGTTGCTTCCTTATGAGATATTCGACAAGCCCAAAGTGCTTGATCCAAAGTCTCATGCCAATTCCTTGGCTTTTGACCCATATGTCTCTTAACTAGGCTAATTATAATCTTATTCACAACCTATCTTGACAACTCGCTTGAGTTTCCTAAGGGGTAAAAGTTATAAGTTTGATTCCTGACTCTGAGGAAAACTCAACCATCTTTCGACCAATGAACCCTGGCCCTTGGTTTGTGGTTATGGTCTCAGGAAGTCTAAACCTTTACATAATGTGACTCTGAATAAAATTAAACACAACATCTTGATCAACATTTGTCAAAGGCACTTCTTCAACCCATTTGGTTAAAAAATCGAAGCCTACTAAGATGTACTTATGACCCTTAGACGATGTAGGTTAAATTTCACCAACTATATATAGTGTCCAATGATCACATGGCTCAAAGCCTTATATTTGAGTAAAACATCTTATGGAGTTTTTTTGAAATAATCCATTTCCAATGATCACATAGCTCAAAGACATATATTTGATCTTTTTATATGTTGTCCGTGTTGGGTTTTCCAAAAACTTTGTAATTTTTTTCGCCAATCATTGTTTGACAAATTGTCAATAGCAAAACTTTCAAAAAATTCAAAATTTTCATAATTTTGCAAGTCTTCCAACCCTTCTACCCCCACCAGTTATGACATTGATGATTATGAGGAGAGAATACCGGGTGAGGTCAATATTTCATTGACTTCAATTATTTCTTCCAAATTTCCTTTGGAGACTTTATATCCTTAAGAAATTTGAGATAAGTCATTAGCTTCTTGATTCTCCAATCGAGGCACATGTTTAATGTCGACTGAATCAAATCTTTTTAAGAGTGAATTAGTTGTGACGAAGTAAATAACAAGGTTTGCTTTAATGCACTTATATTCTTTCGTCAACTGTTTTCCAACAAATTCAGAGTCACTCTTAATTTTGATTGTACTTGCCCCCAAGTTTAATAGTATCTTACGGCATGCTATTATGGCTTCATATTTATCCTCTATACTCGAACGACATCCTTGGATTTTGAATTTGAACTTAGTTGGGATTCCTTTGGGTTAAATAACTAGAATTCCCATGCCAAACCCCTATTTTATGGGACTTGGACCATTGCATGATCTACTATGAAATTAACAACAACTTCACCTTTCATGACCCTTAAAGGTGCATATGTTAAAGAGTACTCAGTCAAAGCTAAAGCCCATTTTCCTACTCTACTATGTAAAATAGGCTTCAACAACATGTGTTTAATAATATCGAAGTGGGAGTACACAAACACATCTGTTGGATTTATATAGCACCTCAACTTTGTATAAGAGAAATATTAACAAAGATACAATTTCTCCATTGGTCTATATCTAGTATTCTCATCAAAATCTTTTTGATGTTCTACTTCCCATCTGAATTCTTCCTTTTTCTTCAAACATAGTAAGGGTGAGAAAACATTTATCTTGCCACTTAAATTTTAAATAAACCTTCTCAAGAAATTTATTTTCCAAAGTAGGATCGGATGTTGTTTCTTGTTCGATAGAGACGCCGTATTGAATATAGCGTTCATCTTGTTCTGGTTTATTTAGATGCCCTTTTTATGCTCCACAAAACCTAGAAAATCATCTGCATGAACACCAATGACACATTTCAATGGATTCATCTTAAGTCCATATTTACTCATCCTTTGAAAGGATTGTCGAAGGTGGTCTAAGTCACCATTTTTCAACGTGGACTTGATGTCTATGTCATCTATATAAACATGCACAAAGGTTTCTATGAAATCATGAAACATACAATTCATTATCCTTTGGTATGTCGCACCAATATTTTTCATGACAAAAGAAATCACTACCCATTCATTAGTGCCCAATACCCCAGGTCATCAAAACGTCGTTTTTGACATATCTTCCTCTGCAATAAAAATATGGCTTTATCTAGAATAATCAACTAAAAGACTCAAATACTCAAAGTCAGCCACTGAATTAACTAGAATTTCTTCCACTGGAAGTGGGTATTCATCCTTTAGCTTCGCATCAATTAGGTCTCTAAAGTAAATACAAACTTTAAGAGTTCCATTCTTTTTAATCACATGGACAATGTTTTCTAACCATTCAACATATTAGGTTTCCCAAATGAACTTAATCTTGAGAAGTCATTCAATTTCTGCTTTACTATTTGACACGACCTCTGTTGTGAATCGTCTTGGCATCTACTTTATTGGCTTCTTGTTGGATCAAATATGAAACTTTAACTCTACCAAATATCGACTAAGCCCAAGAATCTCATTGTAATCCCCGGAAAAACAGTCCTTGAACTCTTGCAAGACTTTGATTATTTTCATTCTCAGGATTGGGTTGATTTTAGAACTGACATAGGTTGGTCGTTGCATCATTTTGGTTGAAGTTGTTGGGTCTTTTTCAAGCCTCAAATGCTCATTGTCATAAATGCATTCGAGCCTGAGGCTTTCTAAAGTTGTTTCTTGGCCATTTTGATCAGTTTTTATGTTTTTAACAGTTTCATTTGTTGTGGCTTCGACAACCAACTTTGGTTATGATACAACCTCTAAGGCCGATTTTAGTATATTCTCAACGACATAGGCCTAAATTCGATCTATTGTTGTCGACTAATTCATTTTTATCCTCTATGTCAAACCATATATTATGTACACCAATGGTCTGGTATTCCCATACGAACTTGTGAGTGGTGTGCAACTTAATTGAGTAGTAGACATCATCTCTCTTGAAGGAAAATCCATTTCCAGCTTCAGTACATGGAGAAATGTTCGCCAATCTTCTACCTGTAAGTATTTGAGTGCGCCTAAGAGGGGGGGGGGGTGAATTAGGACTTTGAAAAATTATCCGGTTTTAGAATACTTGTTCTTATTTTTCTAGTTTTGTGTTTAACCGTTTCTTTCTTATCTAGTTATGATTAAAGATAAAAGCGATAAATGAGGAAAAGTTAAGAACACAAGGATGTATCCTAGTTCCCCTCACAGTTCGAGAGTACTCCAGTCCCCTTTCAACACGAAAGAGATTTCATTATTGTTAGATCTCTAGACAAGACAACTTATTCTTTCTATACAAGACTGTAACCATAAAAACAACCAAGAACAATCTTCTTGGATCAACCAAGTTGAAAAAATAATAATCCTCTCACTTTCATCCTCTTGCTTCCAACAATCCTGGACAACAAGGAATTCAAAACCAAGTAATCTTAATTCCAACAATCCTGGAAAATAAGATATGAATATAACAAGAGTTTACTAAGAATAATGAAATTTGTAAAACAATTATATCTTTGAGTGATGTATCAATTGATCTTTCCTTCACAAAAAGCAAATTATAATGATAGAATAAAGTGCCCAAGTGTTAGTAAATATGGTATGAATTTTTCTATATTGATATAGAAATACATGTAGAAAAATTGTTTGTGAAAGTTTAAGAAACAATGACACTTGATGATTGAAATTTGAGTAAGAGTTGTTAAAATTGCAATGAAAGAGGTTAATTGTAATTTGAAAATTCATGTATTTATATGAGCATAACACATTTATGAATCATGGGGAAGTCATGGAAAAATATCATGAACAAATGCCATGTTAAAATGAAAAGGATTCATGAAGAGGTGCATAAAAAGGTGTTAAAAAGTTGTTTTTTTTCAAATTCATACAGGACCTATTAAGTCGGTTTTAACGATACATAACTTAACAAATGCAAAACATTTTTTTGAACTTCAAAATTAAAATACTTCTTCAGACTGGTGCAATAACTTAACTGCCATAATTTACCAAAAACAGAATGTTTGAAAATTGAAAATTTGTCTAATTATTTGAACCAACCTTATGCAACATCTATTGATTTATCCAAGTAAATAGATTATATTTAAAAGTGTTTTAATATGGTTCAAATATGAAAAAC